GGTGAGACCCCCCCCTTGTGGCTGTCCAGGGGCCTCGTGAGCCCCGTGCCCTGCAGCTGCAGGGCACGGGGTTTCCCAGCAACAAGCCTCCCCCATGACAATGCCTGAGTTTGGGGTACGTGGATTTCCCAGGGGTTGGGGTGGACCCAGCAGCACCCTGACCATGAACCACACAGCAGTAGCGAAGCCAGCTAGGAACAGAGGTGGCATTGGGGGACCAGTAGCACGGGTAGCGCATGGGTCAGAGAATGTGTACCCAAGACCTTGGAGAAGGTTGGGAGGCCCGGCCATCGCCTGGGGAAGGGGTGGTGCTCGGGTGTGGCCAGCCACTGGCTCACCCTGCTGGGGCCCTTGCCTGGGGCCCTGCTGTGGAGGTCCACAGGACCTTGAGTCCCAGAGGTTTTGTGGGAAGTTGTACTCTGAGGCCCAGGGAGGCCTGGCTGTCCCGGGCTGCAAGGAGCTGGGTCAGAGCCAGCCTACTGAGAGGGACTGCGGCTTCCTGAAGTGGTACTGTAAGACCGAGGGCCTTACCAAATGCTCCGAGGAGCTGACTAGTGAAGCACACCCAGGAATCCCAGCGGTGCCTTCAGAATGCAAGACCAAGAGCCTTACCAAACGCTCCAAAGAGCTGACTACAGCGAAGAACATCTGGGAAGGAACACACCGGACAAGTTGGAAAACAGACCTTTATTAGTCTGGCCAGACGGCACTCCCAAAGCAAAATAGCTTGGAGAGGCAACTGGCTCAGAATCCGAGGCTGTTTTTATAGGGGGTTGAGGGGGAAGTTAACATACAGAGTTAAAGAAAAAGGGGACAAAGGTTAGTGGTCGACTGTCACGTATTTATGGTCAGCAGACATTTGCAGCTTGTTCTAAAAATTGTGGTGCCCGGAACATCAATTCCGGGCAAACAAGGAGTTGAGTAGTTTACTCTGGGACTTTAGGTCTGTTACAGATTTTTATCTAGAGTCCCAAAACTAACAAGCATCTTTATCCATTAACTCACATTTAATCACAATGGGGCTGGAGAAAAGGAACAAAGGTTATGCAGTCCCACAGTACAGCTCAGCGGGGGCCAATCTCTGAGTCCCTCTGCACCCTGATACCGGATACCGATACCCAGGAAGTGGGGTTTGGCACACTGTCCCGGAGCTTTCTGTGGCATCTCCCTTCTTCAAGCCCCACAGGTGGCAGGGACACGAGGGACGTCCTCATTCTATTCCCTGTGTATCTCTTTCAGATGGTTACAAGCATCATGCATTAGCTTTGTAATTAAACAAATCATCAATACTTTGCCTTTGAGGAAATAGCAATAATAAGAAGAAAGGTGGAACTGCGTCATGGAAACTCACCCGCGGGATGGGCGCCGGTGCCCCTGGGGCCGGGAGGGGCCTTGGGAAATAACGCTCCGCTCCCTCCCTCTAGGGGATCTGGTGGTTACCTCTGGAGGGGGGTCTGAGGGTCCTGGGCCTGTCTCCGGCGTCCTTCAGGCAGCCAGAAATGGTCTGGTCCAAATTTTTTTTTCTTTTTGAAAGAAAATGTTCCGCTGAGAGATGGCCCTGAGGGACAGACAGGCAGCCCGCGGGTCTGGGGTGCCAGGGCACAGCTGGGAGGGAGGCGCCTGCGTGCTGGCCGGCGGGGGGCCGAGACCTGGCCACGGGAGCCTCACCCACACAGGGCTCTTGGGGCAGCGGGGTTACCAGGCCCCAGCTGCAGTGGGGTAGGTGGGCGGGCGTGGTCAGTGCTGGTCAGGCTGCCTGCCCCACTCCACCGCGGAGCTCACGCCCGCCCGAGGCAGGGCCAGGGTCCCGGGGCCTGTGCTGCTCCTTCTCTGAGGGAACGCGGACCCCACAGGAGGCTGCCCTGCTGTCTGCACAAAGCAAGAGTTCCGGTCCTAGTCCTTAAGCTTTCCTTCCAACAGCCCAGTGCAGGCGCACCTTCCGACAAGGAGCTGGAGAGGTGCTCTCACAGTTGGGGTGGGGGCAACCCCACTTCAGAGACTAGGAGGCCGTGGTCAGGACTCAGCATGGCCGCGTGACCCGGGGTCCTACCCACCTGCAGCCCCACCCTTTCTGCAGCACAAACACTTCCCACGATTTCCAGCAGGTGGCGCTGCCGCACCAGGCTACCTGCCAGTTCTCTGGGCCCTGCAGCGGGCTTGGAGCTGGGGTCTGGCTGGATCAGGCTCTCCTTCCAGGGTGCCTGTTTGGAGAGGGGAGGCCAAATGTGGAAAACCTGTCTCACAACAGGAGTCTCAGTTCCTTCCTCACCCCAAAGCCTCTTAAATGCTGTCCCTTCTAAGCCAACTCAATATGGGGCCCATTGGGTGGTTTGGAGTGCTTCTTTTCTCTTTTCTTCTTTTTTTTTTTTAGTTTTTAGAGACAGGGTCTCACTTTGTAGTTCAGGCTGGTCCTGAACTCATTAGTAGTCCAGGCTGGGCTTGAACTTGCAGCGATCCTCCTGCCTCAGCCTCCCAAGTGCTGGGATTTCAGGCGTGCGCCACTGAGAACCAGCCCTGCCCAGGAGCCTTGGTCTTCATTACCCAGGACAGAGCATGGGTCCAGGAGGCGGCTTCCGGGTGAGCTGTGTCTGCCAGAAGCCCCCTCCAGACTCTCCCTGCCAGGGAAGTGCTGCATCTGGCCCTGGCTCACACTTTGTCCAGAGGAGGCCAGTGTTACAGAGGAGAAAAACGAAGACCTCTTGGCCAGATTCCCCAGTTTGGAAAATTACAGAGCCAGGAGTGTCAATGCGGCCTGAGGCAGAGGAAAGGGGCCTGGCAGGAGGAAGGGAGGTGTGGCAGCAGGTGACATTTGGGACCATGGAGGAAGTGAAGTTCAGTGTCTGGCAACCTCTGAGCCACTTAGGGTGGGGACTGCCTGTCACCTCAGCTCCTCCACAGGGGAGGCTGGACACAGGGGAGGGAGCTTGCTGGGGAAGGCAAACAGTCAGCAGTGGGGTGTCCACACCGGTCTGAGTCCTGGGGGGACCCAGCTAGGCCTCCGGGGCCCTGCCCACTCCCTCACCCTCCACCTTCCTCCTTGTACAAGGCCTTAGCTGGAAGAGGACAGAAGCACAGTGGTAGTTTGCTGTGTGCACTGGTGAAGGAGAGTGAAGAGGCTGGCCAGGCCTGTGGCTGTGAGGGACAGATGACCCCACCCATTCCTCATTCCCCGGTGCAGGCAAGTGTTGGCAATCTCTGTGGACTGAGAAATTTGCTCAGAAATAATGATTGAACTACCAAAAAATTGAAACATGGAGCCTGATGTCTCTGAAATGATAGCAGTTATTCAAATACCTTTGAGGAGAGAATGGGCAGAGGCCAACCAAGGAGCTTTTCCCGTTGCTGCATTCACGGTGACTGAAGCTGCAGGGCTGGGCAGGAGCTGTACCCTTCACACCACAGGCCAGCTCAGGATGTCCTAGAGAGCGACGAAGTAGATGCTAGGCACTGGGAGGCCTCATTGTTCAGTCTGCTGCTCCAGCACTGTAGCTGGAATGGAGGCAGTGGGCGTGGCATAGAGTCAGAAATGCTCCCACCCTGTTGCCCTCAGCCTCCCCAAGCTCCACCTGACGAGAGAGCAGACCACGGAGGGCAGACTGGGCGGGAGTGTCTGAGCCTCCTCTGTGAGGCCTGCCCTCGTTCTCGGCCCACTGAGGCACAGCCTCTGGCTTCTCAGTGGGACATGGGCATCTTGACCACTTATATCCGTGCTTGCCCTAGCAGGGAGTGTGGCTGTCAGCAGCCAGCACAACCTCTTCTCTCACTAGCTGAGCAAGAGGACCCCTCGCTCTGGGCATGTTGCTGTCACGTGGTGGTGGTTCTGCTCCAAGATGGACTTATAGAAGAGGTCTGTATGGGGCAGAGGTCTGTACAGGACAAGAGAGGTTTGAGTCCCAGGGAGGCTGATTCAGGGTCATGGTTGGCTCATCTCTCCACTGCACTCAGCTGCTGTGAAGGATTCCAGTCAATGCCAAGCCTTCAAAGAGCTCTGAAATATGACCCATGGAAAGGCAGGTTGCTATGGTGTAAGACCTGGATAAGATTTAGCATAAGTAGAGCCATTTTGTTGTAAAACCTCCAACTTGTTCCCATGAGTTTCGGGTTCACTGAAAGGACACAGAGTTCCCAGAATGTACTTGTTTATCTGTTAAGAAATCATGAAATGTACCAATGCTTGCTGTGTAAAGAACATCCTGCTAGTTGAATAAAGAACATCTGGAAACTCCCCTAACATCCCCTAACCACAAAAATTCTGCTTCTGTAGTTCTGCTTGCTAAGCTCCCCTGCAGCCTCTGTAAAACCATCCGACCCTCTGAGCTTGGGGCCTCTCTGAGCTTGCTGCTTGGAGAGTGCTGTCTGGCCAGACTAATAAAGTCTGTACTTATCCTGAGTCAGTGTGATCGGTGTGATCTTTGTTTGGGTGGTTCTCGCTACAGTCTGCTCACTAGAGCAATTTGGTAGGATTATAGGTCCTACATTTTGGAGGCCCCAGCGAGATACCCCCAACAAGACCACTGATCATAGCCGAGATCCAGCTGGACAAATCTCAGAGACAGACTTCAGAAAACCTCTGGAGGTAAGGTTTTGGTTTTCGGTTGCAACCATTTGTTAGTCGGGAGTGAGGTGGCTGACGATCCGGGAAGCCTCCTCCCAACCCCCAAGTTCCTGACGAGGAACAGGGGAAGCTTTAGTCTTGTTCTGTGTTGTTTTCTGTCCATATTGTGTTCCATCTGTCTGGTGCTCTGCTTTGCTCTGTGTTTAATTTTAAATCCTATAGGAAAAGACAATATGCGAGGATCCTGTTCCACCGGATCTATGCCGCTTAACTGTTTTATCACTAACTTTAAATTGGCTTTTTCCCCAGAGAAGGAAGATGAATACGGGGTAAAATTTTCCCACAGGAAACTCCATACACTTTGTCAATTAGAATGGCCAAATTTTGGTGTAGGGTGGCCGGCCGAAGGAACCTTCGACCCCGGTACCTGTCGGGCTGTTTTGAAATGAGTCATCGGGCACCCTGGCCACCCCGACCAGTTCCCCTATATTGATATTTGGGTTCAGGCTTGTGAGGATCCCCTGGCTTGGCTCTGGTGCTATTCTCTTGAAACTGAAACTCATATTTTGGTCACAACCCTGAAAAGGCCCAAAGATCCCACAGCCCAGACTGCCAAGCCGGTCCTCTCACAGGACCCTGATCCTTTAGACCCTTTAGCCCATCCCCTATCTTATGCAGGTCCTGCAACCTCCTCTCTTTCACCTGGGGTTCATCCAGGGTCTCGTAATCCTTTTTCCTCACAGTCTGCCCAGCCCTTGTCACCTCCATCTCTCTACCCTCCTCTCCCTGAGAAGCCCCAATCTCTGGACTCTGTGACCTCTCCTTCCCACACCCATACTGGAGTCATTTATGGACCCAGTAAGAGCCCCATTGGGGAGGCCAGTTCGGCCTCCCTTTTGCCCCTCTGGGAGACAGAGAAAGGATGATATGTTTATATCCCATTTACTACTACTGATTTGTATAATTGGAAACATCAGAATCCCCCATTCTCAGAAAAACCCCAGGCCCTGATTTCCCTACTAGAATCTGTTTTCCACTTCCATGACCCTATCTGGGATGACTGCCAGCAACTCTTATAGGCCCTTTTCATCTCCGAAGAAAGAGAGCGAATTTGGGGATAAGCTGTGAGGTCGATATTGGGGGAAATAGAAGGTCCCTTAGACCAACAACAATGAGACCGTATTGAGGCCCAGTTCCCATCCAAGTGGCCTGGCTGGCAGGCCAACTCCACGGGTGGAAGAGAAGCTCTCCAGAACTACCATCAGCATCTCCTGGCCGGGTTTGAGGGGAGCCGCTCGAAAGCCTACCAACTTAAGCAAGGTAAGCGAGGTCCTTCAGGGACCTGAGGAATCCCCTGCTGCCTTTCTGGAGCACCTACTGGAGGCATACCATACGTATAGTCCAATTGATCCAGACACACCCATAAATAGCCAGGCAGTCAATCTGACTTTTGTTACTCAGTCGGCCCCAGATATTAAAAGGAAGTTGCAGAAGTTAGACGGATTTGAGGGAAAGAATAGGGAGGAACTGATGAGTGTGGCTATGAAAATATTCGGAAATCAGGATCCCCTAGAGGAGAGGATGGCCAAGAAATTGGGAAAGGCAACTATAGCAGCCCTGGCAGATGGTGGGTTTGTGCAAAAAGGAAAACCAGAAAAGTAAATGGGAAATAAAGGGAAAAACTGGCCCCTGTTGGAGAAAGATCAATGTGCCTATTGTAAGGAAAAAGGCCACTACAAGAGAGACTGTGAGAAGCTAAAGAGAAAAAAGGAAAAGGAGGGCCAAGAGGAAAAGGTCCTGTTAGTAGATGAAGAAGACTGATGGGGCCAGGGCTCATGGCCGCTAGACCCCAGTGAGCCTTTGGTCACTCTTGAAGTAGGGGGAACAGATGTTCAATTTCTTGTGGACACTGGTGCAGCCCATTCGGTACTGAAGGTCCCCCTTGGACCCCTCATTTCCCTAAAAACCTCCATAACAGGAGCCACAGGGAAATCAGCCTCTTATCCATGGACTTCAAAACGAACAGTGAATCTGGGGAAGGGCACGGTCACCCACTCATTTGTGGTCATCCTCAAATGCCCATACCCATTGGGGGGAAGGGATTTACTTAGAAAATTGGGGGCCACTATCACCTTGAACCAGGAGGAGGAACCTTTGAACTTAAGGCACCCCCCGCAATCCTGGTGACAGTGCCCCTAGAAGATGAATTCAGGCTTACAAGAGACGGAACAGAGCCCCCTAAGGAGGAGTGGGACTATCTCCAGACAAAAGATCCCAAGGTTTGGGCCAAAGCCAGTCCTCCTGGTTTGGTGAAACACCATCCCCCAATAGTCGTTCAACTACTTGCTTCAGCAACCCCCATCTGGGTGTGCCAGTATCCCATCCAGCTGGAAGCTAAGGTGGGGATCTTCAAACACATCCATCGGCTTCTGGAGGTTGGCATATTAGGTCCTTGCCAGTCGGCTTGGAACACCCCTCTGCTCCCTGTAAAGAAGCCTGGAACTTCTGATTTCAGGCCAGTGCAAGACCTATGGGAAATAAATGCCAGAGTGGAGACCCTCCATCCCACTGTGCCAAACCCTTATACCTTATTGAGCCTTATCCCGCCTGACCATAAGTGGTATACAGTACTAGATCTAAAAGATGCTTTTTTTAGCCTCCCCTTGGCTCCAGTAAGCCAACCCCTCTTTGCCTTCGAGTGGATGGACCCAGACACAGGATCGACTGGCCAGTTGACATGGACTCGCCTGCCACAAGGATTCAAGAATTCCCCCCCCACCGCCCCATTCGGGGAGGCTCTGAGCAAGGATCTACAGGAGGTAAGGAAAACTTCCCCCAAGTAACTATCCTCCAATATGTAGATGACCTCTTAGTGGCAGGTCCCACCCATGAGGACTGTTTGGCAGCCACTGAAGGTCTCTTGGAAACCCTCCAGTCCGTAGGCTATCGTGTATCCTGGAAGAAAGCCCATCTTTGCCAGACCAAGGTAAACTACCTGGGATATGTTCTCAAGGGAGGGAAGCAAAGACTGGCTGAATCACAGGGAGCAGCAATTCTTCAGATTCCAGAACCAAACATGAAGAAACAGGTACGTGAATTCTTGGGGACAGTTGGATATTGTAGGATTTGGATTCCTAACTTTGCTGAGATCGCCAAGCCCTTGTATGAGGCCACTGCAGGGGGAAACAAGCCCCTTGAATGGATGGCTACACATCAACAAGCCTTCCAGGTGCTGAAGGCTGCACTTACCTCAGCACCGGCTCTAGCCTTGCCAGATTTGAACAAGCCATTTACTTGTTGACCATGGAAATGGTCGATAGCTTACCTCTCAAAAAGACTGGATCCTGTGGTGCAGGGCTGGCTGACCTGCTTATGGACAGTAGCCACAGCAGCCATTTTAACTCAAGAGGCTGATAAGTTGACATTTGGGCAAGACTTAACTCTGATTACTCCCCATGCCGTTGAACCCCCGTTGCACAGCTCACCCAGCAGATGGTTGTCAAATGCCAGACTGTTACAGTACCAAGGGCTCTTGCTAGAACAGCCACGCATCAAGTTTGCCACCACTGCTAGCCTCAACCCAGCCACCTTACTCCCCGAGTCCGATGAACAGATGCCCATCCATGATTGCCTCGAGACTCTTGAGAACTTGAGAGGAGGGCATCCGGATTTGACAGATCAGGCCCTCCCTCGTGCAGAGGTCACATTCTACACTGATGGGTGTAGCTTCATATGTGACAGAGTGTGGTATGCTGAGGGGACAGTGGTCAACCAGAACTGGCAGGTGGAATGGGAACAAGGGCTATCCTGGGGGACATCAGCACAGAAGGCTGAGCTGATTGCCTTGACCAAGGCTCTAGAACTAGGTAAAGGCAAAAGGATAAATATTTTCACTGACAGCCATTATGCCTTTGCCACCGCTCATGTGCATGGGGAAATTTATCAAAACTGAGGACTGCTAACCTCTGAAGGAAAGACAATCAAGAATAAAACAGAGATATTGGCATTGTTATAAGCCATTTGGCTGCCCTGAGAGGTTGCTGTCACCCATTGCCACGGATATCAAAAGGGGACCAACCTGGAGGTAGTTGGCAACAATGCAGCTGATCTGGCTGCAAGACAAGCTGCCCCAAAATCAGTGGGGAAACAAATGGTTCTGCTCCCCACACCAGTGCTACCAGAGAAACCAGAATACACAGATGAAGAGACAACAGAAATGGCCAAGAAGCAATGGACCCAAGGTAAACATGGGTGGTGGACAACCAATGATGGAAAGGTGGTGCTCCCAGCTGCTGTAGCAGACACGCTGCTACAAGAACTGCATGAGTCCACTCACCTTGGCGAGAAAAAGATGATGGCCACCCTGAGGCCCCATTTCATCATCAAGGGAATGGCACAAAAAGCCACGGACATGGTGAGATGATGCCGCACCTGTATCAAGGTAAATGCAAATCGGGTGATTGAACCCCCTGGGGTCTGACACAGAGGATTAACTCTGGGAGAACATTGGGAATTGGACTTTACTGAAATGAAACCTGGAATGTATGGGTATAAATACCTACTAGTTTTTGTAGACACCTTTTCAGGATGGGTAGAACCCTTCCCTACTAAGAGAGAGACTGCTGAGGTAACCATCAAAAAGCTCTTGACAGAAATAATCCCTCGTTTCAGCTTGCCCCTAGCCCTGGGGTCTGACAGTGGCCCAGCCTTCAGGGCTAAGATATCCAAATTGATCAGTAAAGCTTTTGGGATAAAATGGAACTTGCATTGTGCCTATAGGCCTCAGAGTTCGGGGCAAGTGGAGAGAACAAATTGAATTTTGAAAGAGGTTCTAACTAAATTATGCCTGGAGACTGAACAGGGTTGGGTAGAGCTTCTCCCCTTTGCTCTCCTTCACACTAGGTGCACCCCTAGGTCACCCCTAAATCTGTCACCCTTCCAGGTCATTTACAGACGATCTCCTCTGATCATCCCTCTGGTTGATTTAGAGTTAAAGGAAAAACTTTCCCACCTCCAACTCCTTAAGTCCTTAAAAGCAGTCCATCAGCTTCAGTCAGAATTACATGATGAATTAAGAAAGACCATGCCTGACCCCAACAAGAAACCCCTACAACCCTTACCCTATAAGCTGGGAGATTTGGTTTTCATTCGCAGGTTTGATTCCCAGACCTTGGAACCCCACTGGAAGGGACAGTTTCCTGTCGTCCTGGTGACTCCCTCAGCTGTGAAGGTGGCTGGACATTCGGCCTGGATACATCACAGTCATCTGAAGGCAGTGCCACCCCAACCCCAGCCTCAGGATGGCAAGTCATTCGACAAACAAAGGACCCCTTAAAGATAAGATTAATCAAGGACTGAGATGGGTAATGTGGGGACTTATGGGATCCTTGGTTCTGTCGGCCCAAGTAAAAGGAAATGTTCAACAGCTGGTGCTCTCCAGCCATAACTCCCAGAGCTGGATGTGGTCTCTAAAAAATTCACTTACCGGAGCCCTAATTGTTACTGTTACAACAGATCAACAGCCTGTTTTTCAGGTAGACCTGTTGGCCCTAGGGTTTCCCAAGGTTTATTTTGTTGGGAGGGGCCCGAACACTATAGGACCGAATTTCCGAACAATTGGCCTATACGCATGCCCCATAGGAAAGGATCCCAACTGTGGTGGTGGGCCGGGATATCACGGTTATTAGTGGGGCTGTGAGTCAATAGCCCCGTGGGTAAACAATGATCCCTTTTTGGCTATAACTCGGCCTACAAACCCAACGTGTAACCCAGGAAACTGTGAACCTGTAGAACTTAGACTAAAACAATGGCAGAACCCCTACAAAGATTGGGAAAAGGGAAAGGCATGGATGCTAGCGCTGTATGTCACTGGAAAAGACCCTATGACAGACATCATCATCCAGCGAAGTCTAGTAGTGGTACCACCCAAACTGGTGGGCAACATTTATAGAACATTGAACCCCCAGAAACAGGTAACCAGCCCCAGACGTGCAGGGGGGGTTCCTCCTGCTCATCGCGGAGTGGGGACACATGTGCCCGCCATGCCACCATGACAGCCAGCCACCCAGGTAGCATCCTACCCAACAATGCCCCCGAGTCACCAACCCAGCTGTACTTAAAGATGCTGGATGCTATGTATAAAGTGTTTAATGGGTCTGACTATAATGTCACTAATGAATGTTGGATGTGTCTGAACCCAAAGCCCCCGTACTATGTAGGAATAGCAATCAATGGAACCTACACTGAAACAGGCCAGGATGGGTGCAACTGGAAACAGCCGAAGTTGTCAATAGGGGATATACATGGAAGAGGGTCATGTGTTAAAAACCCCAATGTCACCTCATCTTACTTGGATGAAGCCTGCGTTTATCAGACGACTTCTGCAGGATGTGATCAAGAGCAGAAAACAATTCATGGTGGGCATGCACAGGAGGTATAACCCCTTGCCTCTCTGTTGCTGTCCTGCAAAGGGAACCCGAAGTTTGTGTGCTCGTCCATGTTTTGCCCCAGGTGGTTGTGTATGGTGGGGAACAGGGTTGGGAATATTTGACCAAGAAAGCCCATACTAGGGAGAAATGCCACCCTGACCTCATTCCAGTACTGACTATAGGAAAAATTGTAGGATCCGCAGCTCTAGGAGCAGCAGCATTAGGTATACAGGACTCCAACTTTAAGACCCTAACTCAAGAAGTAAGGATAGACTTGGGTCTGATCACTAAATCAGTATCTCACCTAAAAAAAAAAAGTGGATTCCTTGGCGGAAATGGTCCTCCAGAACTGCTGAGGTCTCGACCTCCTGTACATGAAGGAGGACGGGCTGTGTACAGCCTTGGGAGAACAGTGCTGTTATTATGTCAATAAATCAGGGGTTATTCGAGATACCTTGGCTACAGTAAACAAACATTTACAAGAGAAGTATTACAGGTTAAAAAATAATTCTGGGTGGTATCAGTCTTTGTTTAACTGGTCTCCCTGGTTGACTACCCTTGTGTCCACCCTGGCAGGACCCTTGATGATCCTGTTGCTGGCACTAACCTTCGGGCCATGAATTATCAACAAGCTCATGGCCTATACGTGGGCCCAAGTAGGGTCCGTTCACCTCATGGTTCTAAATCAACAAGCCAGTTATAACACATTGCTGCTAAAAAAACAAAAAGAAAACAGTGTGTAGGATTACTTGCTTGGATAAAATCAGTGGGGAATGTAAGACCTGGATAAGATTTAGCATAAGTAGAGCCATTTTGTTGTAAAACCTCCATTTTGTCCCCATGAGTTTCGGGTTCACTGAAAGGACACAGAGTTCCCGGAATGTACTTGTTTATCTGTTAAGAAATCATGAAATGTACCAATGCTTGCTGTGTAAAGAACATCCTGCTAGTTGAATAAAGAAATCTGGAAACTCCCCTAACATCCCCTAACCACAAAAATTCTGCTTCTGTAGTTCTGCTTGCTAAGCTCCCCTGCAGCCTCTGTAAAACCATCCGA